GAAAACGAAATGGTGAGAAGACCGTAGGCGGGAGTGCGGGCCGTGCACAAGTGGCCGATAAAGATCCCAAAGGTATGTGGCTCGGTTTGATGCTTGCATGGGTCAAGAAGATGCTCAATCGGAGCTGATATTATTCATCTTCAACTCTTCATCACTTAATTATAGCCCACGACGTTAAACGAGGTGGCCAAGGGGACCATCTGCCCAACGAAAGCCCAAGCATTTGAAAAATTGATGCTTTGTCGGCCAGTAACCTAAGCAGTCCCCGACTTCAATGAAATTAAAATCTACTTCAACTGTAATTCAAAGGTGCTTCTCAGCATGTTATTTTTCGTGGTTGATATATAAAACTGCTTGTGTTGCGTACTCGTATTTTCTGTGACTTCCAAGCGTTACTTTGATGTAATTATGGACTATCTATCTCGACATGACATATCACCTGTTTAGCAGACGCGTCATTATGTTGCTCTCCCCAAACAGCTGAGCCGCTTCCTTATGTTAAAATTGATTGTAAAGATTTTTGACCACTTCTAGACCATGAGGTAATTTGCCATTTAGGCTGATGCCAACCTTGATTGTCATCCCCCCTGGGATTTTTTTTGTTTACAAATGAGTTAGCAAGCCTGGTTGTTGGTAAAGAGCCTGTAAAACCCCTCCCATGTTGGGTTTCACAAGGCTATCATGTACATGTCTTTTGTCTCTATCTTACTTCTAGCTCTCCTTTCTCTTCCTGGCTCAGCAGAGAACTGACCCCGCACTCTCTCTGAGCCAGGTGAGCCTTTGATTTCTTTTCATTTCATTCTCTTTGTTTTCTCTTCATTTCTAAAGTTGTATCAGGAGAGAACTGACCCCGCACTCTCTCTGAGCCAGGAAATACAAACCCCCCAGTTTGGTCTTAGAATTCTTCGGCTCATTAGCCGTCTCCGCACCCTTTCCCCTTCATCCAGTGAAGGACTAATAGAGTCCTTACACTTTTTTTTTCTCACACCAAACATCACCAACAACGCTCTGACACCGACTGTTCCGAACGACTTCCCTGCCTTCCTTGACTGAATTAACCCGACTGTTCCGACCGACTTCCCTGCCTTCCTTGACTGAATTAACTGTACCGTTCCGTTCGAATCCGACTGTTCCGTTCCGTTCCGCCGTTCCGACTCACTGTTCCGATTCCCCTCACCTTTTCCATCGATTCATCGTTTCCGATTACTCTATCAATTTACTGCCTCATTATTCCGCAACCTTGTCGCGACTCGATTCCATTTTTTACTTGCCACCTCAAATTTTCCCTTTGCGCTCGACCGAGTTGATGATAACGAGGACCAACGCTACTTCTGATAACATCCACCCATTATCGGACCCAGAAGCAATACTCAAAGCTGGGAACGCTGAGAAAAGACGCAATAAAAAGGATTCTAACCGTCTGATTGCTCCGTTCCCCTCTTCGTCAATTTCGGCTCCTACAACCATGTCAGAAACGATTATCCCACCTGGAGGCCAAGAACCACCGGCCGACTCCACTCGCGACTCCACTCGTACGGCCAATGGATCCGACATGAGCACGGCTAAGGAATGGTTCAAAGCCGTGCTCAAGATCCAACACTCGGCTATCACCCAAGCCCAGGAAGATCGTCGCCAGGCTTTGGAGGATCGCCGAGCGGACCGTCAACTCTTTCTTGCTGTCCACCAAGCTAGTGCAGACCGTATCGGCCGCTTAGAAGACATACTGCTAGCAATGAACATTAAGAACGAAGTCAGCGCACGGACAGAACAAATAGCTCCGGGTCGAGTAGACTTACAGAAATTTCGTACCTCCGATGGTCCAACCTACCGCGGACCATTTCAGGAGACCAAACCATTCCTACGTTGGATTCATGGAGCACAGATCTTCTTCGAGACAAAAAGTGTCAGCAATGCGGCCGACAAAATTAAAATCCTCGGCAACTTAATAGCAGAAACGAATCTTCAGTCGTTCTACGCTAACGAAGCGTCCGGGTTCCTCAACAAGTCATGGGAGGAATTCAAAGCTCGCATGTTTGACTTCGCGCTCCCTAATAATTGGCGTTCTGGACTCCAGCGACAAATCCGTAAACTAGAGATGTCGCAAACCGAGACCTTCTTAGAATACAGCACACGAGCTCGCACCCTGCAGAGCTTATTTAATTTCGACGCCGAGAAGCTATCCAAACTTGGAGATCTTCAACTAGCTCAATTTGTTGTATACGGCTTATCCGACGCCCTTCAAGACAGGATCCATGAACGTCAACTTCTAGAGACATCTCCTTTCATGTATGGCCAGTTTGAGAAGCAATCCAACGCTTCCTTCCTCGCGCTGCAAAGACCCATGGGCCCAACACCGGTAACCAAAGCAACGCCTAGCGCCCCACCGACTCTCGGCCGTGACGAATTCATATGGCGGGTCCACGCCTTCCTGGACTCACAAGGTCTTTGTCATTTCTGCAAGAGACATTGTGGCAATGCCGCCGGGGCCTGTCCTGGGCCAATCGACCGCTCACACATCAACATCCCCAATGACTTCCAAACCCCGACTAAGCCTCTCAATTATGTGGCCCCCTGCGCCTGGAGCAAACCTACCACCGGCCCCGGACGATCCTCTCAACCTCCAGCCGGCCGACCCCCAGCTCGAGCAGCAAGTGTAGCAGGTATCGCAGAGATAACACCGCTTGAGGCTCATGTTGCCGGTTTGACGATTGACGCGGCAATCAGACAAGATTCCCTTATGGACCATGAATTCGACGACGAGGGTTGTTTCCCAGCCCTGGGGACAGCAGCGGTAGCTGCACTAGAGGATCTCGACAACCAGCTCTTACAAAATGAAATTGAACAGGCTACTCAAGCTTCCAACAGTTGGACGGGCAACTTGGCTGATGACATTGCGGGTTGCTAAGGGTCCACATCTTCAGGAATTGCTTTACTCTCCAATTTTCTTCTTTTTTCTTTCTTTCCCTTTTCTTTTCTTCTGTTCCTTTCTTTAATTTTTTTTATAGGAGGGGAGACTGTAAAACCCCTCCCATGTTGGGTTTCACAAGGCTGTCATGTACATGTCTTTTGTCTCTATCTTACTTCTAGCTCTCCTTTCTCTTCCTGGCTCAGCAGAGAACTGACCCCGCACTCTCTCTGAGCCAGGTGAGCCTTTGATTTCTTTTCATTTCATTCTCTTTGTTTTCTCTTCATTTCTAAAGTTGTATCAGGAGAGAACTGACCCCGCACTCTCTCTGAGCCAGGAAATACAAACCCCCCAGTTTGGTCTTAGAATTCTTTGGCTCATTAGCCGTCTCCGCACCCTTTCCCCTTCATCCAGTGAAGGACTAATAGAGTCCTTACAGAGCCTAATTGGCTCCAGATTTGGACTTTTCTGGTTGTCAGAATCCATAATGAATATGAGAATCTTCTAGTGTAGCAAGTGACTATGAAGCAAATAAGCCACCCCCCCCCCCCCTCCGGCTCCTCAATCACAATTATTCTCTATACCTAGGGTGCAGCTAGCTATGACCTGATTCTGATGTTTAGTGCCAATCAGTTTGATCACTATACAAATATCAATAGGAAGCCTGATTTTTTGAAAAAATATGAAGATTGAAGCTATACAGATCCATAGCTCTACCATACTTTCAATCTGAAAGTTATCATTCCCACAGCCAGAAGGGGAAGTATGGTAAGATATGCACGTCATATGTAATGCTCAAGCACATGACACACCCACATACAAAAACATTATTTCCGTAATTTCTGTGTTCCCAAAAGATGAACACATCAATTCAAAAAAAGAAAAACATGCACTGAATCTTATCCCTAAACCTTCATTTTTGAATTTTGAAACAGGGCCCCAAAGCTTTTTCCTAAAAATTTATTGGTATATTGTCATATTGCAGAAATTCTGTCCAAGATTCCAGAGAGATTATATTCCCATGTAAAATGAGTGATGTAGCAATAACAAGGTATGCATAAACTGCTACCAAATATCTTAAAAAGGTCCCTATTGATTTTCCAAAAGAAAATTGAAATTATCAGCCACCACATGTACTTGATGACCAAGAAAAAGATATAAAAAAGGGGAAGTTTTACCACTTGATTTGAAATTTGAAATGTTCATTTAAATCTTGGATGCAGACAGAAATTTAGGTATCTGAAGATTTGATTCTCACAATCAGGATATATTTTTAAGGGTCAAAAAGAATGAGCATAAATCAAGGCAGATTGAAGAGGAATTCAAGCTGGGGCCAATATTAATATTGGTCTTCAACATGATTTCAAGAACACTTTATTTAATATTCATGATGTGAAGTATAATACCCAAAAATGAGGATTTGAAGAAGCAGAAAATGAAAAGGTAATTTGTTGAAAAATGTTTGAAAAATTTTTAAATATGGCAAGCTTCATCAAAACTGAATCTCAACTTTTTTCAGAAATATTGAGAAAAATATTCCTCAGGGGGCATGTGCTACATACATGCATGTTTCCCCTTATATTCCCCAGAATCTTGGTGGAGAAATGACTCAGGCCTCAGGCAAGGTTTCCTTGAATCTCTTCATCTCTTTGTCAGAGTAGTAGTAAGGCCTATGCCAACCGTGTGGTGGAACACCAGAGCATGATCTTTGTGGGAAGAGTGCCCAGTGGTCACATTTATGGCAGTAGAATACATCATGTGTGATTTGGTCATTACACGGTGTCCCACTGAATAAACCACAAGCCAAGGTACGTCTTTCATTTGTTGAGCAAAGTGTTAATTCCTTGATGGGCCCAGTGGTGTGCCTTTCACACTCTTGGCATTTCCTGGGCCCAAAGTTGAGGGACGGGTGTGGAATAGAAGCAAACACCAGGCCAGTGAGCAGGGAACACACAAGACCCCGGTGGGCCAAGGCAGTGGGGATGAGCATGATTGGACAATCTGGGTCAACAGCAATGAGAGTTGTTCACAGTGGGATTTGATCTCAGAGGCTAGGGACAGTCAGTGATGAAACGCAAAGGGCTTTTGAAGTGGGATAAGATTACCACTATGCCAGCTAGGCGTGGTGGGGGAGGAATCCTACATACTTGTTAGAGACTAGAGTCAAGGGTGTGATCTGCCACATGCCAAACTTAACCAAGCACTTCCCTCAAAGTCTTTTTTCCCTTTGAATGTTCATGATAAGTGTTAAATATCCTTTCTACTTCAATTTTTGTACCTTTTTAATCTGCTATTTTTAAACTTGGCCATTCTTTCTGTCTCATCAATTTTGAGCACATTCACCTGCTGATACATGTCTTTCTCATCTCTAAATTCTTCTCTAATTCACTGGCCCTTTTTTCCCAAGACCTCTTTTTTGGTGATACAGACTCTTCAATCATGTATTTATTGGATGAGTTGCAGTCACAGTGTATGGAGTATTAGGGTGTGACAGGTAAACTTGACACATTTCAAACCTGTAAATAAAGATTTGGTAGGTAACTGACACTTACAAGCAAAGCAGCATTGGATGGTGTCTTACAATTTGGATGTTGGACCACCCAGTTTGAATTGCTTGGCAATTGAAAACAGAACTCAATTATTTTCAATTGGGTGAATTCAAACAAAAAGAATTTGTTTGCAGCCATCTAAGGCAGCTTAGATGGTATTGTGAAGTTGATTATAAAGTGTTGAATGTATGTGAAATCACAGATGAAAGGTATTTATCATACTAAATCTGGAAAATAAATTGAAATAAAAATAATTCTAACATTGTTGAGTGTCTTAACTTGATCTGGAATTCTAACATTGTTGAGTGTATTAACTTGATCCGGTTCAGATTTCCAAGTATGTATCCAGCCACTTTCCACAGTGTCATTGTGCTAAACCATTACCCTATTTCATAATTTTTGCTTTGAAAAAGCTTTCCAATGCTCTCAAGTGAACTTTGAGAAGAAATTCAGAATAAAAAATTTCCGCAGGGGCAAATGTGCCATCTTTATGTTTCTTCTTCATCATCTGATCCCAAATATCCCTGAGATTCATCATGGGGAACTATTGAACTAGCAGTCTGAGGGGTCATTTTCATCCCGCTGCGGCGCATCAGTTCACGTGCGGGTAGTGAGACAAACAAGGTTTGAAACCTAATCGGGAATCGGTTGTAGTAGTTTTAAAGTCACTTCATCTCTTCTCTTGTAGTTTCTTTTTCTTCTTCATCGATTCTCTCAGTTTGTTTCTTTGCCTTGTGTCTCACCCACATACGCTCTTCCTGTTTCGACCCAGGTTCGCTGCTTTCAGCTCTAGTCGTTAGTTCACGTCGTTCGTGCCCTAACATCCCATTTGGAAAACCAAAGGTTCGCTGCTTTCAGCTCTAGTCGTTAGTTCACGTCGTTCGTGCCCTAACATCCCATTTGGAAAACCAAAGGTTAGAAATGAAAACATGATCGATTCTCTCAGTTTGTTTCTTTGCCTTGTGTCTCACCCGCATACGCTCTTCCTGTTTCGACCCAGGTTCGCTGCTTTCAGCTCTAGTCGTTAGTTCACGTCGTTCGTGCCCTAACATCCCATTTGGAAAACCAAAGGTTTGCTGCTTTCAGCTCTAGTTGTTAGTTCACGTCGTTTGTGCCCTAACATCCCATTTGGAAAACCAAAGATCTTGAGTTCTTTGGAACCCATTGAACCTGGGTGAATGGGTGTTTCTCTATGGGACATTTGAACCTGGTAAAGAATGCCCAGTTGTTACATCTGTCACATATGTATGGCTCTGTATCAAGTTTGATTTCACATTCACCTGGTGGACGTTGACGCAATGCACCACAAGTGATTCCACGTGAATATGGGTAAGGCTTGAGTGTATACTCACCAGGTGCGAAACCATTGAGTAGTTCAAAGTTGTCACATGTTCTATTCCCTCTTCCAGGGTCAAGGCAAACAGATTTCACAAGACCAATTAACATTGTAGAAGCAAGTGCCAGAAGGGAAACATAGGCAAGACTGTGCATAATTTGAGGCAACTGAGAAATGAAAGTTGTTCAGACCAAGTTTTGATCCCAGGGTTGGGGGTGGAAAAAGATGAAATGCAATGGGCTCTTGAAGTGGGGAAATATACCCACTATGCCAGCAATGCATGGTGGAAGGGTAATCTACAAGCTTATTATAGGCACTGTTTAGGTTCAAATTCAGTTACTTTGGAATTATGTAACAAGGAAGTGAATTTTCCATTCATAAAAAAAAGGAATTCATGGAGCCACAGCCCACCACTGATAATTGGGCTTGATTGATGGATAGGTTGCAAAATCTCAACAATTCTCCTTTCATGTGTAGTATCATGTATGGCACAGGTGCTTTGCACTCAGGAGGGACTTAATTAATTCTGGTGACAAGCTAACTTAACACAAGCACATATTCAGACACTTCCCACAGTATGTGCAAAAAAAACCCTGTTTCAGAATGCAGCAGCTTAGTTGAAGTTCTTGGGGATCCTGTTGCACAGGAAAAGAATAAAAAACTATACTTTGGGTCAGCTCTGTGTATGCTACAGTGGTTTGAATACTATAAAAACCAGGTGCTATCACTGTTCTGAAGGAGTATCAAATAAAAATATTACTCTTTTTCACCCTTTAAATGTGTTCCAAATTCCACAAAGGTCAAGTCCACACTCCTTTAAGCTTAAATGTTTCAAATGAAAAAATAACAGGAAATTTTAACAATCAATGAATTGTCATAGCTCGGAAAGGTTAAGCAATGAAAATTGCTATGAAGCAGCTGGCAAGCACTTGAGCTGATTGGCTACTTGTCAGAGGTGGTAGTCTTGCTGCTTGCAGAAACTGCTTTATAAGGGATTTTGGGGAGGGATGAAAGGGGAATTTCAAATTTACACACTAATAATTCCAGTACTAAAAGTTTGGTTGGAATTGGGATAAACTACTCTAAAATTAGGTGGAGAATATTCACTGTACTTA